CGTTCCCCTCGCCCTTTCCGTCCGCTCCACCGCCTTCGCCGTCTCCGTGCCCACTTGTGCTCCCCCGCGGCTACACTCCACATCGTCTGCCCGCTGGCAGGAGCTCGTCTGCATCGGGCGCGAGCTCGACCACGCGGCGGGATCTAGCCGAGATCTAGCCGAGATCGAGCCGAGATTCAGCCGAGATCGAGCCGAGATCGAGCCGAACTGAGGCCTGAGAGCATGGCGGCGATCCTGCGCTCTCTTGGGCAAGTCCTCAGGATCCCTGCATGGACAGCCTGTTCGGAACCTTCTCGGAACCCTCCCCACAGGCGGCAAAGGCGGCCCTCGACGCGTGCCTCCTGAGCGAGGGCGACATGGCGTGCGGCCAAGAGGCGTGGGCGGCGCTCCCGGACCCGTACGCCGCGCTGTGGGAGGCGTGCGCGCGCGGCGTTGCCGAGATGAAGGAGCAGCACCTTGAGAACCACGTCCCCACGCACGAGGAGCGGGTCGCTCGGCACCGGATGCGCCTTCGAGAGATCGAGCAATCGCAGCGGGTACGTTGCGGTCGAGGCATAGTAGCGTGACCACACCTTCCCCCTGCGGGTGTGCGGACTTTTGGATTGGTGCGTCCCACGAACCGCCGCCATGCAGATCGTGATTCGAGTGCGTGCACGTGCGCAGCTGCGCAGCGCGGGAGAGCGTGTGCGGCGCGTGCGGGAGCACTACCTGTGACACCAACTGATACGTGATACGGAAAAACGGGGGTTAAAGATTAAAAAGACTCTTGAACTGCCCACAGAAAAAGAAAGCGCTCGACGGCGGTCGGGGGACGGGGGCGCGAGGGCCGTTCGGCCGAGGCGAAACCCAGATGGATCGTGGTCTGTGCACTATGCCAGTGGGCATGTGCGCGCAGAAAAAACACTAACACACACACAGACACGGGTCGCAGGTGTGGCATAGGAGAGAAGGAGGCGAGCAGCACAAACCACAATAAACAAACCAACAAATCACAAATCGGCATCCAAAAGTGACTTGGCCTCAAAGTAGCGCGCTTCTCGGTCGTCTAGGGCTTCGAGGGCGCTTGCCTGTGATATGGTCCCGCGGAAGGCGGGAGAGGCGTCGCCAGGCTGCCGCGGCCAGCACGAGGGCGACGCAAGCCACCGCGCCCTGAGCAGCCGCCGCGGCAGCCCAGTTGTGCGTCGCGCGGGGGCGGCCTTCTGCCCGCAGCATCGCGACTTCAGAGGCGCCAGCGTTGCTAGCAACGCGCGGCGACGCGGCTTCTTCGGGCACGCAGCACCGGCGGCTGGGCCAGACCTTTGCTGGGCACTCGAGAGTCCGCCCTCGCCTGCATGTTGTCATTGCAGTAGAAGCCGAGCGTTGCGAGCTCGGCTGGCGGCCTGAGTGAGGCTGGTGGCCTCGAAGGGCGCAGAGTTGTCGGGGGCGGCGACGGCGGCGGCGGCGGCGGCGACGGCAGTGGCTGCGGTGGCGCCGGCGGCGGCAGCGGTGGAGGTGGAGGCGGAGGCGGCGAGGGCGGTGGCGACAGCGGCGGCGGCGGCGGCGGCGGCGGCGGAGGCGGAGGCGGCGAGGGCGGCGGCGGCGGCGGCGTAGACGGGGGTGGCTGCGGCAGCGGCGGCGGCGGCGGCGGCGGCGGTGGCGGCGGCGGCGGCGGCGGCGAGGGCGGTGGCAGCGACGGCAACGGCGAGGGTGGTGGGGTCGGAGGTGGGGGTGGCGGCGGTGGAGGCGAGGGCGGCGGGGAGGGTGGAAAGGGCTCGCCTGACACGCAGCAGTGGTAGCCATCGCATCCCGAGACGAGCGCCGGGCATCCGAGGGCCACTCTCCACGAGGTTTGGTCGGGGACGAGGAAGCCCGATCGGCAGCAAGCGCGGCCGACGCCGCAGTAGCTGGGGCAGATCCCAGACCGCCCGCCACACTCCCAGAAGCAGTTCCGGGGCGGCATCGGCGGTGGGGGCGGGGATGGCGGGGGTAGGGGCGGCAACGACGGCGGTGGCGGCAGCGGCGGTGGACGGGGCTTCGGCGGCGGCGGTGGCGGCGGCGGCGGCGAGGGCGGCGGCGGCGGCGAGGGTGGCGGCGGCGGTGAGGACGGCGGTGGTGGCGAGGGAGGCGGCGGCAGCGGCGGTGGCGGCGGCAGCGGCGAGGGAGGCGGCGGCAGCGGCGGCGGCAGCGGCGGCGGCAGCGGCGAGGGAGGCGGCGGCAGCGGCGGCGGCGGCGGCGGCAGCGGCGGCAGCGGCGGCGGCGGCGGCGGCGAGGGCGGTGGCGAGGGCGGAAACGGCACTCCCGAGACGCAGCAGTGGTAGCCAGTGCAGGCTTGAGCTGGGCATCCCAGCGCCTGCCAGCCTGTCATGCAGCAGGACGACCCACCACAGAAGCCAGGGCACGGTCCCGCACCTGCGCACGGTCCCCAGCAGTCCGGCGGAGGCGGCGGTGGCGGCGGGCTCGATGGCTGGTGCAAGCGCCACCAATCCAACGCGCTCATCCTCATCGCGGGGGCAGTAAGCCACGCCCGGGCGCCTCACAACCTCACAACGCGGCGGCCGGGCGCCCGGCTCGCGCGGTTTCTTTTGTTCTGAGCCAACTCGAATTCATATTTCTCATCCTACTACGCCACTAGTATCGGGGAGTCTCGGGACACTCTACTTCTTCCGGAAGGGGGCGAGGGGACTACCTCTCCAGGCACCAGGGGCAGCTTCGCCTGATCCCTAGAGATGCCCACGTGTGAGAGAGATTTTTAGCAATACCTTAACAATACCAAACAACTCTAACACTCAGGTTTCACTCTAGGTTGTCCCACCTGTGATTTCTTTCTTATCTCTCTCTATTCTCTCTCTGTTGTGCGAGGCGTGAACCGCGCCAGTCGCTCTCACCTGGCAACCCTGTCTGCACGTCTCGCGCGCGCGCGTGAACAGGGCTCCAGGCCCCAAATTACGTGTGAGTGTTAGAGTTGTTTGGTATTGCTAAAAATCTCTCTCTCTCTCTATTTGGGAGGCCTGGCCGACAACAAGAAATCACGACTCTCACTCGTGCGTGATCTGGGCGCTCGGCAGCTTGTCTCTCTCTCTCTCTTCATTCAGCTTGTCAGCCCTCAGCCGAAGCTGGGGCCGGTCCCGTAGCCTTCAAAAATCTCTCTCTCCACTCTCCGACGACCGCATTGCGGAAGCGGAAGGCGCCGACGGGTGTGCCACGGGTGGTGAGAGTGGGGCACTGGAGTCGGTGGATTGCGCCATGCAGCGTGCTCGCAGGTGGTGCCCTCAGCAGGTGCCCTCACAAGAATTTTTTTTAGAAGCCCAACACCCGCTTAAAATCCCTGTCGTGTGGGTGAACGCTGCCCAGCCCCCCTCCGTGTCGCGATGCGCTCCCCACTCCCGTTCCCCTGTGTCCCTGATCGTCCTTCCCAATCCTGCTCGTGCAGGTAGGGACCTCGAGTAGGGACCCTGTCCTCCCCCCATCGTCCCTCGTCTGGCCTGTCTGTTTTCTTTGTTTCTTTTTTCCCTTATTCCCTTGTATTAGATTTTTAGAAGCCAACAAGAAATGAGAGAGAGATTTTTAGAAGCCAACAAGAAATGTGTCACACAGAGTGATTTGCGCTCGGCAGCTTGTCGACTACCAGCCGGAGCCGGAGTCGGAACCGTAGCCGAGATGGTCTTCGAGGGTGTCGAATATGTCATTCGCCTCGCTAGTGGAGCCGGTGCCGCATGAGTCGCGGTCGGAGGAGGAGTCGTCGGAGGAGCGGTCGGACCGCTCGCGCTTGTCGCGCCTGATGCGCTCTGCGAGGGGGCCGGGGTCGTGGTCGTCGTGCTCGAGCGTCGGGTAGGTAGCGCGCCTTGCGACCTTGTCGGCCGAGCTGCCATCCCAGTAGAAGGTATACTCTTCTTCAAGAAATGTGGCAGAGAGAGTGATTTGGGCTCGGCAGCTTGTCGACTACCAGCCGAAGCCGGAGTCGGAACCGTAGCCGAGATGGTCTTCGAGGGTGTCGAATATGTCATTCTCCTCGCTAGGATTGTCGATTTTCTTCTTAGTGTTTCAACCCTTCACCACACAGAAAAAGTAAAAAACCCCGGGCTTCTTTTTCTATTCGCGTTGGAGCCGCGAGGGCCGGAGCCGCCAAAGCATATCAGCTCGAGAACCTCGAGAGACCCTTCTCTATCCACACCATCCAACACCACGCGCCTATGTATGTGGACCCTGCCGAGGCCGAGCTGAGGCACCGGAAGGGGCTCGAAAAGGCTGCGGCGAAGGGCGCCGCGAAGGCCTCGGCCGCAGCTGCCACTCTATCGGCCGGGGCGTGGGCAGAGCGGGACCTCCTGGAGCAGGACGCGCTGCTGCGTGAATGCTCCAGTGGCGGACACCTGCTCGTGCTGCGGTCGGCGCTGCGCAACTCGGCACTCTTCTCTGAGGAGCTCCGCGCCGCTGCCCGCCTGGTGGCACTGCCCGAGCGTTTGCTCGCGCCGCTCGGAGGAGGGCTATGGGTCCTCCGCGGAGCCGGCGACGAGCCGAGCGCCGGCGCGCTGCTCGCGCACCACATCCCGCGCCTCGGCGGCGTGAGGCTGCGCCTCTCAATGGTCCACTGCGCGGCGACGCCATCCTCGCTGCTCGAACGAGTGCGCGCCGCGCCGCCCGCCCGCAGCCACGCATGCTGGTCTCTCCGCCACGAGGCGCACCATCCGGGCGGGGATCTCAACCTTGCTCCTTGGACAGAGCTGACCAACGCGCCCTCCCTTGCCATCGGCCTCTCCTCCATTCTCGGCGCGGGCTTCACCGCTCCGCGCGCGGAAGACGATGCCGACGTCGCAGCGTTGGCGGCCGAGTGCGACAAGTTTGTGCTGCTCGAGACCAAACGTGCGCTCTTCCTCTGCCGCGAGATGCCGCTCGAGCGTGCCTGCGCCGTCGGCGTGGCGCGGCGCCCATCGCCCCCTCCCCTCTCCCTCCCCCCCTGGGTTGGCTGCTGGGAGCACCGGCCGTTCGCCTTCTCTGCGAGCCTGGAGCCGCTCATCGCCTCAGCCGCAGTGAGCATCGCTGCGAACGTCCACCGCGCAGCCGGCGGGGAGGTGGTGGCTCGCCGGCCGCTGCGGCTGCTCGACCCCTGCTGCGGGTCCGGGACGGTGCTCGCGGCTGGGGCCGCGCTTGGCTTGGCATGCCGCGGCTCGGACTTGCGCGACGATTTCGTATGCCGCGCGCGCGAAAACCTCGACTTCCTGGGCGTGGCGGCGGAGGTCGCGCAACACGACGCTCTGGCGCCGTTTCCGCACCGAGAGGACCCGCCCGACGTAATCGTCTCCAACCCTCCTTGGGGCAAGCATATTGGCGGCGATGAGGACGGCGCCCGGATTCTGGAGTGTGTCGTTCGCGAGTTCCCGGCGCGAAGCGCGTGCTGCCCCCGGAGGCACTGGCCGACCCACCTCGCCCACCGCCCCTCGCAAAACATTAGGCCGCGACGATGTGTTGGATTGGGAATGCGTTTGCCTTCGCGGCGGCGGCGGGCTTGCCCGGAGTCCAACTCGTGTATCATTGCCGCGTCGGCAGCGCTGAGGCGTTTGTGCTTCGCGTGCGACGCGCCGACGCCGACGAGCGGAAGTGTCCAAGTGACCACTGACCAGGGTCGCACCAGATCCCGGCGCCGCGCGGATGGGTAGTTTACCGCGACGCCGACCGCCGCGTCGGACACGCCCCGCGCGCGTCTACGGCTCATCACAGGGTACGGACATTGCTCATTGGAACAACACATGAGACATGTCTTTGTCACGATACTCGTGGATACAACGCAGACGCGTCCGCATCTCGCACATGCGCGGGCTGTGGAAACCACCCTCCACACGCGCCCGTAGAGCAGCGCATAGCAAACGAAACGCTGCTCCGGCACTTGCGTCGGCGAAATCACTACGACATTGGGCTCTACACGAATGGGCACGTCATCGTGCGCTGCTCCCGCTTTGCAACTCGAGCACACAATACAGTTAGTGGATCCTACTACGGTACGTTTAGGCGTAGAATGGTCTCGGCTACTCTCTCCCCACGTCATTTTGTGTCAATGGGTACAACACGAGTTGAAAAAAAACAGATCAGCGAGCGGCCTAGGCCCATAGCCGGGGGGTGTTGGCTGGGGAAAGCCCTCAGGCCTCAGTGTACGTTATACAACACTCGGAGGTGGGCCCTCCCAACACCTCCGACGAGACCGCGGCGTGCACCGGGTGCATCGATGGGGGACGGGTCGCGGAAGTGTCAAGTGACATGACGTTCGACCTCTGGATCGCGGCTCTTTTTTCGGATTTCCGATTTCGCTTTTCGGATTCGCGACGTGCGTGTCGTGTCGGTCGTCGGTCGTCGGTGTCTTGACTCTTGTTAGATTCTTGATCTCCGCAATACCGGTTACCGCAACACGAGACTCGAGAGGCGAAGTTTTCTCGGTCGATCTCGTGGTCTCTCTCGTTGCGGCAGGGTTGCGACGCGTGCGGGGTGTGTGTTACGGCTCGAACCCTCCATCGCGTTGGAGATATAACAGATATGGATTATTTTACGGCGTTGCGTCTCTCACTTCTTTTTCACCCCGCTAAGACACGTGTCGGCACTTCCCCTCCCCCCGCGCACACCCACCCGCCTCCGGTGACTGCCTTCCCTGGCCATTCCCTCTCTCCTCCCCTCTGCCACGATTGCACGAAGTGATTCTCAATCGGTGTGCAAGGCGCGAACCGGGTGCGTTCAAAGCAGCTGCAAGAGTCCCGCGAAAGAGTTGTCCGGCGCGCCACGAGCCTCAGGGGAGGGGAGGCACGCGAGGAAGCAAGCGGCCCGAGCCTTGCCGTCCCTGTGTATTGGCCGAGGCATCCATGCCTTCGAGCCAAGCATCCACCCTAGAGAGGAGCTGCTGCTTGTACGCGCGGGCGGCACGCCGCAAGCGGCGCCGCTCGCCCCTGGCTACCCACGCGGCGATGGCGACGCGCAAGTGCAAGCGCCTCAACGCCTCGACGACCTCGAGCTCCCGCCGTAGCAGTTCTGCCGCCTGCTGGTCCCGCGCCGCCCGCGCAACTAGCGCCCACCCGGCGAGGATCCGGCGCAGCCAGCCGGCACGCACGGCGCGGAGAGCGCCCGCCGCCCGCTCGGCGTGCACTGCCGCCATCTCCCGCATCCGAATCAGGCCCCGGCGCTGCGTGTGGCGGCAGCGAAGCCGCAAGGCGCAGATGCGAAGCACCCCCTCCTTGCAGCCGCGAGCGGCAGCCGCTCGGGACACGAGCAGCAGCCAGCCCCCGAAGGCTGCGCCACACAGCCTCTCCCGGCGGTGCGCCAGCGCTGCCGCCGTGCGCAAGCGCTTTCCGTTGAGCAGGGCACGCCATGGCTTCCAGCCAAAGCGACGTAGGAGGGCGCGGCGGGCGTGGAGGCGTGCAAGCTCGGTCCGCGCCTCGCCCGCCGCTCGCCGCTGCGCCGCCCGCTCGTCCGCCGCCTTGGCCTCGCGCTGCTGCGCAGCCTGCTCCCTGCGAGCGCGCGCGCGCCGCACGTGCGCCTCCGCCTCCGCCTCCGCCTTGGCCGCCTCTGCCGCGAGTCGCGCATCGCGGTACCTATTCATAGCAGCGAGAGCGGTGGAGACACCATCGTGCCTCGGCCGCGCCACGAGCGCGATTGGCGGAGCCGCTGCGCGAGCACGTGCCGCTTCAACTGCCGCTCGTGTGCCCGCCGCTCGAGCCGCGCGCCCAGCGACCGCTGCAGCGACTCGGCGCGCGAGCCCAGGCTTGGAGCGCTGCCGTCGCCGCCGCCACTATCTCCGCCGCCGTCGCCGTTTGGTTTGTCGTTCTCCGCGCCCGCAGCAGCTTGCGCCTCCGGCTCCACCTCCACCCCAGAGGTTGTCAACCGCAAGGTCGAGGTCTCGCTGGGCACACACTCGGTTGTGGCACTGCGGCAGGTGTGAGAGGCGGCGGCGGTTGTGGCTGGAGACTCAGACCCCGCCTGAAGCCGCGACTGAAAGGAGCCCTGACTACTCTCCGCGTCGCCATTACGCGTGGAGAGCGGAGTCGGCGGCGTTCGCGGCGGCGGGTGCGCCTTCGGCATGGATGCGTTGGTCAAGCGCTCAAGCCACGACAGAGCGATTTCTCTTTTCTCTCCACAGCCTGCCATGCGTCGCCGGTGCCGCATTCGTCACAGTGCTTCTCGTTAGCAGGCGGTGGACTGTCGGCTGCGAGGACGGTCGCATTTGCGCGAGGCGAGGCGAGGATTCAGACGCGTTGCATGCGCCATGCCTGGCGCCAGCGCGTGCGGGAGCTCCTTGCTGAGCGTTGCTGCAAACTTCGATCGCTACGCCAAGCTGTTCCGGGCGATTTGTTTTCTCGCCCGAACTCCACGCCCCTGGCCGAGCGGCTGCTGGCGGGCCAGCTGAGAGGCGCAAATGGTCCTGGAGCTGCGGCTGGCGCGCCTCGGAGTCTCTCGGCTCGCTCGGCTGGCGTCCACGGCCCCACGCGTGCACGTGCCGTCCGGCGCGCGGACGGGAGCAGCTGCGCTCGCGCTCGGCGAGTTGCGGCTGATTTCGGCGGGTGGCAAACAGCTGGGTGTGATGGCGCCGCAGCAGGCTCTCGCGCTCGCCCGGACAGAGGGCCTCGAGCTTGCCGAGATGGCGCCAAACGCCGTGCCGCCCGTCTGGCGGCTCGTGGCGCCTGATGCATTGGCACCCGCCACTGCGGCGGCCGGAACGCCACTTCCGCCGCCGGCGGCGGCGGCAGCGGCGGCGGCCGGCGACGCGGACGCGCGACGCGCGGAGGCGCTGCAGCGACGAAGGCGGCTGGGCAAGGCGCCGCGCGTCAAGGAGGTGCGGCTGCTCGACCGGTGCCAGGAGCACGACGTTGGGGTCAAGATCAAGTCGACGCTCGGCTTCCTCTCCAAGGGGAACGTGGTCAAGGTCACGGCCGCCTCCGCGGTGCGCCCCGAGGGCGGTTCCGCGTCGCTCGCGCGCGCGACCGAGCTCGTGGAGCGCTTCATTGCCGAGGCGAAGCCGCTCGCCTCCTCCACCGGCCTCGCCAAGTCTGAGGGCTTTGTGGCGACGACGCTCGAGCCGAGGGAAGCGCCGCCGTGACCGGCCGTTTCTGCGGATTGGATTTACGCATCGGTCTCTACTAAGGGGTGAAAATAAAACGTCCAGGATATGCACATCTCTTAGGAGAGGGTCTCACGAAACCAAAAGACCAGCCGTTTCGTGCTCAGAGAGCACCAGAGCTCAGCGCGAGAACCTCGACGGATGTGTTTGATGATTGATCATTGATGTGCGCGGAGACGAGAGGTGTCAGAGGAAGAGAGCTCAGCTGAGTGAAATAGTGAAAATCACAGTATAGACACCTCGCGATCGACCACTCTTCACAGGTGGAGACTGTCACGGTCAGCTCGCCGGAGGGCACTCGTCGTCCTCAATCAGTTCCAATCCATCGACCTCCACAAACCGCACCCGCTCCTCTAGATGCCGCCGCGCCGGCTCGCCCGCCGCCGCGCCGACGTACGCGTGTGCGTACACCATCCTCGGCTGCTGGCGCTTGATGGCGACGGCACGCTGCCCCCCCGCGCCCGTGAGACGGCGCGGCAGCCAGCGAAGCTCAGGCGTGCTGTGGTTGGCGTCGGTGCCTACTCGCACCCAATGCGCACCCCATACACACATGGACATGGACATGGACATGGACATGGACACACACATGGAGCGCTCGTGACGGTGGACGATAGGCAGGAGGCGGCGCGCACCTTCCCACAGCGGCGAGGCGTCGCGGTAGCCGCCAAAACGCGGGTGCTGCGGCCGGAGGGGCGGGAGCCGTGAGGACCGGTGCGCGCGAGGGCAGAACAGCGCGCCGCGGAGTGCGTGCACACACCACGGTCTGCCCAAAGTAGTCGCTGCCGCGCCGCCGGTGCCACTCGGCGACCGCGTCGCTCAGGCGCGCACCGATGCCCAACCCCTGCCACTCCGGCAGCACGACAGTTCGGTGCGCTCGCTGCGCCGGCGCACGCGCCCACTCGGAGCGCCTTCCCGAGTGCGGGATCGTCGCCACGAATCCGACCGGGATGCGCACGGCGGCCTCCGTCTCGTGCGTCGGCGCGGCCAAGCCGCTGACGCCGTCAACAGGGTGCTGCTCTGAGCTCGCACGTTGGTGGCAGGAGCGCTCCTGAGCCGCGAGGCGCGGCGAGTGGCCCCAGAGAGTCGCCTCGAGGAGGAAGCACGTTGCGACTGCAGGGGGGCGGCGTGTCAGGCGGCTTCGCGGAATGGAAGGCAGTGCGCGCGGTTTCACGGGCAGCAGAGAGGCGAAATGGCGCTACGTTCCTTCTGCGGGGGTGGTCGGGGCTGACGCTCACCCCGAGAGAGCAGCGGCGTCTTGTAGTGGAAGGCGTGGAAGCGGCGCCACGCGGCGGGCTCGCACCGGCGTAGCCTGAGAGCAAAGCGCGGCGGCGCCACACGGACAACCCCGGAATCGCAAAGCGGCCCATAGCCATCGCACGACACCGCTCCGCTGCGCGCGTGAGCGATGTCCTCCCACGCTGCGAGCCCTCCCGGAAAGTCGACCACAGAGTCGTCACCTGCTGCCGTCATAGACGCGCCCCCCACCTCTGCCGCTCCCATCGCCGCCGTGCAGCCGGCACCCTCTCGCGCCTGCGCCGGCACCAACGCACCGCAATCCGGTGCCGCCCCCGGCGCGAAGCGGAATAATGTCGCCGAGGCGGCCTCGAACACCCAATCGGGCTCGAAGCCGCCTGGCCCCACGTGCGACACGTGGCAGCCGGCGAGGACGACGCGCCCGCCGGCCCACCCGGCAGATCGCACCGCGCGCGTGAGCGCCCCGCCAACCCGCGTCGCCGTTGCCTCGTCCCACGCCGAGCCAAACTCGTCAAAAACGCACGGCGGCAACGTGCTGCCGCTCCCGCCGCCGCTTCGGCTGCCCTCGCCCTCCGCCAGAGGCTCTGACGCGGCGAGCGCAAGAGCCAGCTCCGCCTGCGCCGCCTCGCCCGCTGAGCACTCGCCGCCGCTCCACGCGAGCGCAGCTGGCAGCGGCGCCGCCACCGCCGCGAGGCAACGCGCCGCCTGCGCCTCGCTCGCAAAGACTTGGGCAAGGCGTGCGCCACGCGGCCACGGCCGCGGCGGCGGCGGCGGCCCAAAGTGCGCGGCAAGCAGCGCCGACTTGGCGGCGCCCGACGGGCCTAGGCCAGAGGGCCGTGGGTGAGTGGCGAGCTGCCGGGCAGGGGCGTGCAGGTGAGGAGCGTCACCGCAGACGAGCCCAAGCCGAGCGCCGCCGAGCTGCGCCTCGCTCGGAAAGGGAGGCAGCCGCCTCGCGCACGTGCCATCGTGCGGCAAGTCGAAGAAGCTCTCGACTGAGCGCGTCGCGGCGGTCCGCTCGACGCGTGACGCCAGCACGCGCCCGCCCGTTGGTGGTGGCGTGTGCGCGTCCGGCTGAAAGGGAGGCGCGTCATCGAAGCACGCCTCAGAGACCACGCGGAGGCCGCACCTGCGCAAAGCGTGCACAAAAACCTCGCCGCCACCCGAGAGGCCACCACCGCCTGGCGCCTTCGCCTCGGCGTCGCCTTCCTCGCCGAACGCGCCCGCGGTTGAGAGCGGCGCCGCGCCGTCGTCGAGCACACTGATGCGCAACGGCAGGAGCGTGTGGGCGTCTGCGACGCGGAGCACCGTCGCACTCCTTCCGGGGCGGCACACGACGACGGCGTCGGGGCGCAGCCAATGGGCGACGCGCGGATGGCAACTAGCAACCGCCGCTCGCGTGCCGCGGCCCTCGCGCCGCAAGTGGCGCGAGAGCGACGCTGCGCAGCAAGCGGCGGAGAGCGGGTCGAGGTGGTTGCAAAAGCCGTCGACGGTGAGCAGCGGCGCGTCCGACGCGGCGGCCAACTGCAGCCGCCGTGCAAGCTCCGCGCGGAACGCCTCGCCCGTTGAGAGTGCGGCGTAGGGCTGGCACCACAGCGGCACCGATCCTAGCCCCACCGCGGCCAGCCATCGGTGGCCATCTGCTCCGAGGACATCGAGGATCGACCGGTTGGTTGGCCACGCGTACCGAGCGCCGACGAGGCCGCCGTCGCCGCCGTCGCCGCCGGCGGCGGCGGCGAGAGCGCGGAGCAGCCGACTCTTGCCGCTGCCGGCGACGCCGACGAGGAGCAGCACGCGGCAGCCGGCGGGCCACTGAACGGCCGCCCCAAGCTCCATCTCTCCCTCGCCCATCTCTCCCTCGCCCTCGTCCTGCCACTTTGGCGGCGAGAGCGCCTGAGCCGACGCCACCGCCGCCGCCGCGTCCCCCGCTGCGTGGTCCTCGATGGACCAGACGATCTCCGCGCCCGGGTATCTCTCCTCCAGCGGCGCCACCACCGCCTCCACCTCCTCGCGCACCTCGAAAGCGCCGCCCGCTCGACCAACTGTGTACGTCGCGGCCGCGCCCGCAGGTGGTGCCGTCGTCGCTGGCGGGCCGCCGACGCCGTGCGCCCGCCACTCGTGAAGCTTGAGCGCAGCGAGGCACCCCTCGAAGGCACACTGGCCGCACGAGACGTGGTTGCGGACGTGCGAGGCGAGCGCGCGTCGCAGCGCAAACTCGCGACCGCAGCACACGCGAGGTGGGTCGAGCCGCTCTTCTGGCGGTGCGGCCGCCCGCACTCCGCGGTTCGGCCGCTGCTGCCCTGCTGGGGCCGTCGGCTCCGCTGCTGCTACCGCCACCCCTGCCGCCGCCGCCTCTCCTGCTGCCACCGCCACAGCCTCAGTGGTCGCTGCCCCCGCCCCTAGCGGAGGACAGACGGTGTCGCCCTCCTCCAGCTCGTACGCCCAATCGGCCGACCAGCGTGCGGTCGACGCGCAGCTGACGCCCGAGCGGTGCATCGTCAGGTCGGTGAAGAGCAGCACGTCGCCCGGCGAGAGAACCGGGAGCACCGCCTCTGGCGCCGCGGCGGCTGGGCCGCCGCTGCGGGCGGCAAAGGCGCCTCTAGCGGCGGTTAAGAAGCCGCCCTCCCTCCTGTGGGGTACGAAGCCGGCGCGGTGCGAGCCGGGAGATAGCTGGACGCCGCCGTTGGTCGCGCCGACCTGGCGGGAGAGAGGGGATGGTGGCGGCGGCAGTGGCGAGAACGCGGTGGCGGTGACAAAGTGGGTGGCACAGTAGCGCTCCACGGACCTCCGTGAGAGGAGCCCACGCGGCAAGGAGGCGACGCGGCGTCTCGCCGCGCAGCGCATACTGCATGCGGAAGAAGGCATGGTCCTGATGCCACGGGAACGCCGCGCCCGCCGCCGCCTTGAGCTTACAGCGGCAGTTATATCGCGCCGCCACGCAAGGCTCTCTTCCGGTGAGCCGTTTCACGACGCTGCACAGCGCGGCGTCGCGGAAGAGGTGGTGGTGGAAGGCGGGCGCCGTGCGGATGGCTGACACCCATGATGCGGGAGCGTTCTCTGGAGCGTGCGCATACGCAGCCGCTATTCGCTCTTCGAGCGGCAGCTCCGCGGGCATGCGATCGATGGCGCCAGCGGCGACGGCGGAGCTCAGGTGGCGCTCCACCGCCGCCTCGAGGTGCGCTCGCGCCCGTTCCACCGTCGCGGTCGGGAATAGCTGCCGGATGACGCAGAAGCCGTGCCCCTGCAGTGCTTGGCTGATGCCGTCGGTGTCGAGCGGGTCAAGCACCTCGCCGTCGTCGGCGGCCATGCCGCGAAGAAAAAAAAACAATGGCGCCGTTGGGTGCGATGGGAGGACGGCACGCCGCCACCACACAGGGATTTTAAGGAGAGGGGTGTGGTGCGCTAGCCGTCGCCCACCCTTGGGCGTCCGCCTCTTCATCTCTCTTCGCAGTCTCTCGCCGATTCTCGCTGCATGCCGCGAAGAAGAGTGAGAAAAAAACCGTACGTTTTTCTTTTCTTTTATGTGTGGTGTGGGGCGGCCTGTGCCGTTCTCCCCGTTTTCTTTCTTCTTTTTTTCCTTTCTCTCACTGCAATGACCAATGGAATGTCAATCAAGCTCTCTATGGACTATGCCGCGCCCCCCTTTCTCCTGAACACTCCTGCATACCTGCAACTGCGGTGAATTTTCCGCGAGGCGTATAGATGAATTTTCCGCGAGGCGCGAGCGGGGGACGGCGCCGCGTGCACGTGGAGCAGTTGTGCAAAAAAGCAATCAAGCTATACCGCCCCCCCGCCCCTCTTCTGCTGCTGTAGTGGATTCGAGCTGCCGCTTGTCCCTCGCCGACCGCGCGCGCGTCGAATTCGACTTTGCCATCGCCTCGGGCGAGTGCAGCAGCTCCGCCGCGTCGCGCGACGCACGCACTTTGCGGCGCGCCCGCTCGAGCATGTCTGCCTCGAACATGGAAAGCGCCGCGCCAAGCGA